CACCGGGACCCCCCGAGACACACCGGGACCCCGGAGCACCGAGACACACTGGAACACACAGGGACACACCGGGACAGCGGGACCCTGGGACACACTAGGACACTGGGACACACCAGGACACACAGGGACAACGGGACACCAGGACAGTGGGACCCTGGGACACACCAGGACACCAAAACACCAGGACAAGGGACTCACCGGGACCATAGGACACCGAAGCACAGCAGGACACAGGGGACAGCGGGATACACTGGGACACACTGGGTCCCTGGAGCACCGAGACACACCGGGACTCACAGGGACTATGGGACCATGGGACACACCGGGACCGTGGGACACACCGGGACCCCCCGAGACACACCGGGACCCCGGAGCACCGAGACACACTGGAACACACAGGGACACACCGGGACAGCGGGACCCTGGGACACACCGGGACCATGGGACACACAGGGACCCACAGGGACACACCGGGACCATGGGACACACCGGGACCATGGGACACACTGGGATACAGCGGGAGCACACCGAGATACACCGTGACACACCGGGACACTGGGACACATCGGGATAGCTGGACCATGGGACACACCGGGACACACTGGGGCACTGGGGCACACCGGGACCTCGGGACACACTGGGGAGGGTCGGCACTGGGACACCGGAACACACCGGGACACTGGGACACACCAGGACACACAGGGACAACGAAATACCAGGACAGTGGGACCCTGGGACGCACCAGGACACCAAAACACCGGGACAAGGGACCCACCGGGACCATAGGACACCGAAGCACAGCAGGACACAGGGGACAGCGGGATACACTGGGACCCTGGGTCAGCGGGACACCGGGACCCACAGGGACCGTGGGACCATGGGACACACCGGGACCATGGGTGACACAGAGACACACCGGGACTCACAGGGACTATGGGACCATGGGACACACCGGGACACACCGGGACCCACCGGGACCCACAGGGACTGTGGGACACACCATGGGACACACCGGGACCGTGGGACACACCGGGACACGCCGGGACACAGCGGGACCATGGGACACACAGAGATACACCGGGACCCACAGGGACCCTGGGACACACCGGGACCCCCCGAGACACACCGGGACCCCGGAGCACCGAGACACACTGGAACACACAGGGACACACCGGGACAGCGGGACCCTGGGACACACCGGGACCATGGAACACACAGGGACCCACAGGGACACACTGGGACCATGGGACACACCGGGACCATGGGACACAGCGGGAACCACCGGGACCCACAGGGACCATGGGACACACTGGGATACAGCGGGAACCACCGGGACCCACAGGGACCATGGGACACACTGGGATACAGCGGGAACACACCGTGACACACCGGGACACTGGGACACATCGGGATAGCTGGACCATGGGACACACCGGGGCACCGGAACACACCGAGACGTACTGGGGCACTGGGGCACACCGGGACCTCGGGACACACCGGGGAGGGTCGGCACTGGGACACTGGGACACTGGGACACACCAGGACACACAGGGACAACGGAATACCAGGACAGTGGGACCCTGGGACACACCAGGACACCAAAACACCAGGACAAGGGACCCACCGGGACCATAGGACACCGAAGCACAGCAGGACACAGGGGACAGCAGGATACACTGGGACACACTGGGACCCTGGAGCACCGAGACACACCGGGACACCGGGGAGTGGTGGCACCGGGACAGTGGGACACTGTGGGGAAGAGCGTGGGACACACTCGGGAGCTCAGGGGGTGGCGGGAGGTGACACACACCGAGAGAGCGAGGGGAGCCTCGTGTTGCAGGGGGAGCTGTGAGGTGCAGGGGCTGGGCACACACCGGGGTGAGGGGGAGCTCATGGGTGAAGGGCAGCTGGGGCACTCCAGGGGCTGTGTCAAGGGGTCAGCGCTGTGCCAGACCAAGGACGTGCCACCTGGCCCCAGACTGCCCTGTACCATCGCTACTCTGAGCCCATCCATCAACGTCCTCCAAAGCATGAAGCTGCCCCTGCATGGAACAATCCCCCAGCGCCTGTCACAAGCTGTTGAGACAGCAAGGAGCCAGTTGTGCCTTCCATTACACAGCTGTCCTGTCCATCACACTTATTTTCCTATCCATCCATCACACTGGCACTGCTGTGCTGAGTTGCCATGGCACTGCACACCACCCTGGTGACAGGGATGAAACTGGAGCCAGCGGGGCCATTGTGGGATGTGCTTTCCCAGGAGCAGGCCTGGCTTTGTCCCAGCCTGTGTCGCCGCCTGCCACCTTCCTGTTTCTCAGAACCCGGCTGTGCTCCAGCACTAGGTGCCAGCGTCCATCACCAGGGGCTGTGACTCGCTCCAGGCAACTTTGCAGGCAGCCCAAGTGTGGAGACACCTCAGACATCGTCCATCCCCGCAGCAGAGAGCCGTGGCTTGCAGCACTGATGCAGCTCCTGTGGTGGGGATGCCCTGTCTCTCTGCTCCCTGCTCTCAGCACCCTTTGCACCTGAAGAACAAACAGTAAGTGTGTACAACTGGTTATTCTGCCTCCCAAAAAGGCACCCCGGCAACATCCCACTCCAGGCTGTGGTGTCCCTCCTCCTCCCTCAGTGACTTCTTTCCTTTCTCGTAGCCACCAAGGTTTGTGGGGTCTTCCATGGAAAGCCCTTTTTGCTTCCTGAAACTTAATAGCAATCAGCTTACAAGATATCCCTAATTTTTCATATAAATAATATAAAACAACACTGCTCGTTTGAAGTGCTCCCTGGCAGGACCATGCTGGCTTGGCTGCCTAGGCGCCTCTCTCTCTTTCAGGCAGGTTGCTGCCCCTCCCCATGGATTCAGAAGAGGCTGCTGACCTGGGAGTGCAGCCCACCACCCCCACAAACCCCACCACCCCCACAAACCCCACCACCCCCACAAACCCCACCATCACCACCATCACCCCTGCAGCCCCCGCAGCCTCCGCAGCCCCCACCAGCTGCAAGAAGAGCAGGAAGAAAAAGGAGAAGGCCGAGGCCGGGGAAGCTGCTCGGGAGGGAGGGGACGAGGCAGGGCGGGTGGATGCCATCAAGGGCCTCACACGAGCCGGGCAGCGGGCGCTGGCTCTGGGCTCCGGGCGGGAGGCAGTGGAGTGCTTCAGGAAGGCCCTGCTCCTCTCCAGGGACACGGTGAGCCCCCAGCTCCACAGGGCTTGTGCCTTCAACCTGGGGGCTGCCTACGTGGAGACTGGGAAGCCCAGAAAGGGCCTTGAGTTCCTCCTCCAGTCCCAGCCCTCAGAGGTGGAGAGCAGGGACCACCTGGGGAGCCTTTATTTCAGCATCGGGGCGGCTCATGAAGGGCTCCAGGATTTTCCAAAGGCTCTGGAGTGTTCTGAGAAAGTCGCCGGGCACGCCGGTGCTGCGCAGGCTGGCCGAGCAGGGACCTGTGTGCAGATGGGCTGCTGCTACCTGGGCATGCGGGAGCCGGCCCGGGCCGCTCGGTGCTTCCTGGACGCGGCGCAGACCTACACGGCGGCCGAGAGCCCCGAGGCCGCGGCCGTGGCTCTGAGCAGGGCGAGCGGCTCCATGCTGCAGAGCCGGCGGTTCCGGGCGGCAGAGATCGCCAGGGTCCTGGCCCGGTGCCGCTCGCTCTGCGAGACCATCCCCGACCCGGCCCTGCGAGGTAACGCTGAGCCGAACCCTTCGCTTCCGGCGCCCTGGGGAGCAGCTCCCACGCCTGCTTTTCCTCTCTGTCCCCAGGGAAACTCTACAACGACATCGGCCTCGGCTACTCCCAGCTCCACATCTTCTCCCTGGCTGCCGAGAGCTTTGAGCGGGCCCTTGCGCTGTGCGGTGGGGAGCGGCAGCGGGACCGGCGCCGGGAGGCTGCGCTGCTGCAGAATTTGGGCGCTGCCCACAACGCCCTGCGCAGCTTTGGCACGGCGCTGGGCTGGCACCGGCGAGCGGCCGAGCTGCACGGTGGGTCACAACCCCACCTCTGCTGCTTGGCTTTGCCGCATGTGCCACAGATTGGCATGCAACCCTGTGTTCCCAATTCCAGGTGCTCTGGGGAACCGGAGAGCCCAGGGGCAGTGCTTTGGGAACCTGGCCTACGCCTGCAGCCAGCTCGGGAACCACGGGGCTGCCGCCCAGAGCTACCTGCACGCCCTGCAAGCCTTCCGGGACTCGGGTGAGGGGAGGCACAGGCACTTCTTGGGGGGAGTCTGCAGCATCCGGGATCCAAGTGGACTCAAGCAGGGCGATGCTGCCCGCCGGGGATCCCAGCTCAGCAGTGCTGGGACTGATGGAGTCCTTTGCCCCCAGGGGACTTGCAGGGGCAGTGGCAAGCGTGCGAGGGGCTGGGTGCAGCGTGCTTCCACCTGGGCGACCCCCAGAAAGCCATTGGGCACTATCAGGAGGCCCTGATTTTGCTTTCCCACTGTCAGGTAAGGCATGACGGAGCACCCCCAGGGCAAGACCCTCCTGTGCATCATGGAGCCTCAGCCCTGGGGCACACCCACTCAGCCCATCACACATATGGGTTCTCTCCACCACAGGACAGCCCCAGAGCTGCCCACAGACGGGTCGTGCACAAGCTCACGGATGCCATCCAGCACCGACTCCACCTCAGCCACCTCTCCTACCGAGGGCGCTGGGCACTCGCCCCAGCCCTGGTGAGCATCACCAAGGGCATGGGACACTCTGGAGGGCTGGGAACTGGGATCCCAGTAGGGGTTGTGACAAGAGGTGCCTGAGTTTGCTGGGCAGAGAGACACATGTGTTAATTCCATCAGGAGCCCAGCCAGCTGCGGTTTTGCTCCACACTGCCCCGTGCCAGTAGGACACAGCTCCAGGGGAGCGAGGTGTGAGTAGGAAAGCTGCCATCCTCTCTCTCCTTCCTCTGGAATGAGTTTCCAGATCACACGGGACACAAGCCTTCCTTCCTTCCTTCACTCCATGTCCTTCAGGAGGAAAGCCCAGGCTGAGGATGAGCTGTATATGTGTACACCAGGAGCACATCCTGGGTTTTCAGGTGAGAGGGTGTGAACTAAACGTGGGATTGAGCCATCCAGGCAATTCCTGATGGAGCTGAGGCTTTGGCACAGTCTGATACTGTGCTCTTGCCTGCTTGTCCTTCCTTCCTGGAGGCACAAGAGTGGCCCTGGCTGGTGGTCTTGCACTGGAGCCCTGCAACCCACATGGCCTCCTGGGCACCTCTGGGGAGGATGATGATGGTCCCAGCTCAGCTCCAGGGTATCACAGTGAGCCCCAGGCTAACAGGTAGGTGGGCAAGGGGGAGGCACCTCAGTACAGCCCTTGGCACCCAAATACCTCTGCAGCACAAGGAACTTCTGTTCAACTGTGAAAATCCAGATATTTTTAAAGATACATAATTCTGGGAGCGCATTTGGGGTAATCCTAGCTGGATCCTTGGGAGGGTTCAGTCACGATGTGATAGGGGAGAGTTTGTCAGAGATGCTCACCCCATGTGAGGCTCACTTGTCTCTCAGAAAGAGGATCACCAGCCCCCTGCACTTGGCCAAGCCACCCCATGCCGGCCTCCGGCTACCTGAGTACCAGGTACAACCAAAACATCACTTCTCCAGCGAGCCCAGGCCTGAGGGGCTCACACTGAATTCCACAGGGCATCAAAACCACCAAACGCTCCTTCCAAGGCCTCGGGAGAGGTGGGTGATGCCTTGGGGGAGTGGGCAAGGGAGTGGACAGGAGGTTTGGTTTCCAGAGTGTCCTCTGATGGGAGGGTTCACAGCTGGAGACCCCAGCAGGGCTTGGGACACCCCTGTTTCTTGGAATGGACACAAGCCTGAAGTCACAGGGGCTGGGGATTTTGGCACCTCGTAGCCAACACCAAAACCACGCCCTAAGGATGGGGCAGAAGATCTAAGGGTGGTTTCCAGGACCCTGGTATGAACCTCCTGCCCACTCCTCCCTTCCAGTGTTTAAAGGGGCTCCAACAGAGCTAGAGAGGGACTTTGGACAAGGGCCTGGAGTGCCAGGACAAGAGGGAATGGCTTCTCATTGCCAGAGGGCAGGGTTAGATGGGATATCGGGAAGGAATTCTTGGCTGTGAGGGTGGGGAGGCCCTGGAACAGGTTGCCCAGAGAAGCTGTGGCTGCCCCTGCATCCCTGGACGTGTCCAAGGCCAGGCTGAACAGGGCTTGGAGCAGCCTGGGATAGTGGAAGGTGTCCCTGCTCATGGCAGGAGGGTGGTACAAGATGGGCTTTAAGATCTCCTCCCACCCAAAACAGTCCGCGACTCCGTAATTTGATTATTCCATTTTGCATCCTGCTGGACACCCTCGCTCCCCATGATGCCGCCGTGACCCTGCAGCCTGGACGGTGAGCCCAGTGCCACTGCTGCCGGTTGCTGGTCCCGCCGGGGACCTCGCACGGGCACCAGGACTCTGTCCCTCGTCTGCAGCCTCGTGTGACCAGGAGGACACCGGGGAAACGCCGCCGTTTGTCGCGGGGCCTGGCGCAGGCCCGAACCGGGGCGAGGAGGGGGGTGTTGAGCCAACACGATTCTGACGCCGCTCCGTTTCCGCCATCCTTTGTCCATGGGCGTTCTGGGGAGGAAATGAATGCTCAGGAGGCAGCGCGGATTCTGCGCGGCTCCGCCCCGCGCCTGATGCGTGGAGCTCCGGGTGCCGTCCCGGGCCGTGCCGGGTGGTTCCGGGCCGTACCGGGCCGTACCGGGCCGTGCCCGCTGCATGCCGGGCCCGCGGGCGCTGCTGGGGCTGGGCCTGCTGGTGGCGGCGGCGCGGGCGGGCGGGCGGTGCCGGGACCGGCGCTGGGGCTGGGGCTGGCACCGGGACCGGGAGCTGTGCCCGTGTCTTCCCCGCCGCGCCATGCACGTCCCCGGCCCCACGGGGCTCCGCTTCCTGGGGTAGGCCCGGGGGGAAGGAGGGAGGTGGGAGAGGAGGCGGGCGGTGCTTGGGGTCCGCAGGGGCCGGGCTGGGATCGGGCAGGACAGGACAGGGTTAGGGGCACGCTGAGGGTGCAGAGGGGTCAGACAGGACAGGACAGGGTTAGGGGCACGCTGAGGGTGCAGAGGGGTCAGACAGGACAGGGTACGGGCACGCTGAGGGGACAGACAGGACAGGACAGGGTTAGGGGCACGCTGAGGGTGCAGAGGGGTCAGACAGGACAGGACAGGGTACGGGCACGCTGAGGGGACAGACAGGACAGGACAGGGTTAGGGGCACGCTGAGGGTGCAGACAGGACAGGACAGGGTTAGGGGCACGCTGAGGGGACAGACAGGACAGGACAGGGTATGGGCGCGCTGAGGGGACAGACAGGACAGGACAAGGTATGGGCACGCTGAGGGGACAGACAGGACAGGACAGGGTACGGGCACGCTGAGGGTGCAGACAGGACAGGACAGGGTACGGGCACGCTGAGGGTGCAGAGGGGTTGGGCAGGACATGGGGTTGGGCTGCAGATGGAAACGAGGGCACAGCATTGTGTAATGTTTCCCCTCCCCTGGCTCATGCAAAGCCGAGAGGATCGTAGCAGCCCCCAGGCTGGGCCTGGCCGGGTTTTAGGGTACCCAGCAGTGCCATCTCCCACCCTAGGCAGGAGGAGGCCCAGGCCATCGACCAGGAGCTCTTCAATGAATACAAGTTCAGCGTGGACCAGCTGATGGAGCTGGCAGGGCTGAGCTGTGCCACTGCCATTGCCAAGGTGGGGATCCTGGGGGACAGAAGGGGGGTCCTGGCACTGTGGGCTGAGCTGTGCCACTGCCAGGGTGGGTGCCAGGGAGGTGGTTGGAAATCCTGGGGGAGAGCTCCAGTACTACAGGCTGAGTGCTATCACCACTATCGACAAGATGGGGGCCCTGGGGGGCAAGAGAGGGTCCTGGGGGTCCTGGCATTGTGTACCAAACTGTGCTACCACCAAGGTGGGCACCAGGGAGGCAGATGGTGATCCTGGGAATGGTCCCAGTCCCACGGACATGCCAGTCCCAAGTTGGGGGTTTTGCAAATCCTGGCCCTGTGGCGTGGGCCCATCATAACCCTGTGCCTCTTGCCCCCCATTAGGCCTACCCACCCAGCTCCTTCACCACGAGCCAGCCCGCTGTGCTGGTGGTCTGCGGGCCAGGGAACAACGGCGGCGATGGGCTGGTCTGTGCCCGGCACCTGAAGATGTTTGTGAGTCTTGAGCAGGCAGCCACAGGGTCCCCATGAGAGTTTTGGTCTCTGTGCACCCCTGTACCTGTGGGCTTCAGGGTCCCACTCTTCTGGCTGCTTCCAGTGCCAGAGTGGGATTACTTCAAGTCCTTTCTGCTCTTGCAGGGCTACCAGCCAACTGTGCATTACCCCAAGCAGCCCAGCAAGCCCCTCTTTGAAGGTTTGACCACCCAGTGCAAGAAGATGGATATTCCCTTCCTCCCAGAGTTCCCAGCTGAGGTGAGGAGCAGCCCCCAGCTTGGTAGCACCTGCCCCTGGAGCTGTGGCCAGAACTGCCCTTCCTTCACCTGCTGCCATCCCTGCTGCAGGCTGCATTCATTGACGAGCTCTATGGCCTGGTGGTGGATGCCATTTTCGGCTTCAGCTTCAAGGGAGCAGTGCGGGAGCCCTTTGGCAGCATCCTCAGCACCCTCGAGCAAGTCACGGTGCCCATTGCCAGCATTGACATCCCCTCAGGTGAGTTACAGCTGCACCTGCCAGGGGAAGGTGCCCAGCCCGGGTGGTCCCGGCTGCAGCCTGGCTCTGGGGCTTGTTGCAGGCTGGGATGTGGAGAAGGGGAAGGCAGACGGCCTCCAGCCTGACATGCTCATCTCCCTCACGGCGCCCAAGAAGGCAGCGATGCATTTCACGGGCCGGTACCACTTCCTTGGGGGCAGGTTTGTGCCCCCTGCACTCCAGGAGAAATACGCTCTAAACCTGCCAGCGTATCCTGGCACAGACTGCGTCCTGCAGCTGACCTAGAGCTGGGGCCACAGGGGCTGGGGGGGCCAGGCTCGGCGTCAGCACTGCACACCAGGGCCAAATTCTGCCCAAGCCTCTGCTAGGAGGGTGCTCAGCACCTCAGTGGGCTTCAGTGTGAGCCAGCAGGATCAAAAGGCCCAGGAGGTGGGAGTGGTGAGGGGCTGCAGGAGATCTGTTTGGGGTTGCTGCCTAATCCAAGTGCTAAAGGTGTAAAGGTGATCTGGAATCCGGGGTTCTGCCACTCATGGCACCACTCACACTTCAGGATAATCTGATTACAATAAAGATTTATTCATGCCCCTGAAAAAAAACCTCAGTACTCTGCAGGGTGTATCCTTGTGTCCCTCTGTGACAGGCCCAAATGGGTCCCTGCCCCAATGTCTTGGGGGAACCAGGGTCACCCCTTAAGGTTCAGGTGGTGAAGTAAAGCTTGATCCAGCTCCAGACTAACTTGTCCTAGCCCAGCATCCCCAGGCAGCTGGGCCACAGTGCTGGACTCCATCTGGAATGAGCTCAGAGCACCGTGTGGCACCCACCAGCACCAGGATCTGGACCTTTACAGCCAGGTGGGACTGGCAGCTGCACAGCATGGCAGCCATGTCACTTGTTCACTCTGGCTCCCTCTTCTTCTTCTTCTTCTTCCTCTTCTTTGTAGGGCTGTGTCCCAAGTTTGGCTCATCTGTGTCTTGTAGAGGTATGTCTGTTTCAGCTGGCTCTTCTTTGTCCTCCTCTTCCTGCTTCTTCTTCTTTTTCTTCTTTCTCCTCTTTGCAGCCTTCCTCTCCTCTTCTGTCACTTCCTCATCTGTGCTTAGCTCTGGCTTCTTCCTCTTCATGACTTTCCCCTCCTCTCCTGATACCTCTTCTCCACATGGCTCTGTGACCACCTTCTTCTTCTTCCTCATGACCTCTTCCTCTCCTGTCAGCTCCTCTTCTCTGCTTGGTCTCCGGTTCTTTTTCTTCCTCTTGACAACCTTTTCTTCTTTCAAAGTCTCCTGTTCTCTGTTTGGGTCCTGGCTCTTTGGCACCTCGGGGTTGGCTCCATCCCTGGACTGTTTCCTTTTCTTCTTTTTGCCCTGGTTGCTCTCTGGGGGCTCCTGCTGCTGCTCCCGTTGCCGATATGTGGCCAGGAAGGCTCGTTCCTGCTCCTCCAGGCGTGCCAGCTTGGCACTCATGGTCAGGCCGTGACGGGCACCCCTGCAATGACCGCAGGCAGTGAGGACTGGCACATCCCCAGCAGTGAACGTGTTCTCCAGCCCAACCTGCACAACAGCCCCTGCGAGGAGAGGGCAGCCCAGCCAGGCAACCCCCCAGCCACTCACTTGTGTGCTGTGCGGCCCCCACACGCCTGCACCAGCTCCTCGTCTGTCAGCCTGTGGGACACAGACAGGACCTGTCACCCCCAGCACCTGTGTGGGGGGAACAGGGTCTGGACCAGGGCTCCACCTTGCAGCCCTCGTCCCTCCCCGTCAAGGGATGGGGCCCAGCCTCACCTCCTGACCGAGGAGAGGTCCAGCTTCTCCTCATCCTCACTGCTCTCAGAGCTGGTGGGCAGTGTTATGGACTCCTCCCCACAGGCTGTGAGCGTGGCTGACTGCAGCACAGAGACACAGGGACTGTGAGAAAGGGGAACAAGGAAAATGGGGCTCTGGGGGCCATGCAGCCCCCAGGCTCCTGGGGCCGGTTACCTTCACAAATCGGCCGTACAGGAGGCTCCCACTGCTGCCAGCCTTGCGCGGCTTCTTATTGCTGATCCCGCCTCCCTGCTCAGAAAGCGCCTTCACAGAGATGCCATCCTGGGGGAGAAAAGGCGAAGGGCTTGGAAATGGTCTGTCCAAGGGGCTTCACCTCTCCAGCACCACAGCCTCTGTGCAAGGTGCTGCTTGCTGACAGCGCCTGGGGGGATACAGTGGCAGTACAGGAGCCACCGAAGGGACCCAAACGTCCTGCCCTGCCTTCAACCCCATCCCTCTCCAACCGAGGTGCCCCCACCACCCCCAGCCCTCCAACCTGCCCAGCCTCCACAGCGATGTTGGCAGCCGCCTTGTTGAAGACGTGGTCCCACCAGTGGAAGGTGAAGGGCTCCGCCGCGTCGTGTCCCACCTGCGGGGTGCAGAGGAGCTGCGGGAATGGCTGCGGTGGGCAGCGGGCACCGGGCCAGGCCCGGGAAGGGATCCACACTCACCCCCGCCGTGTCGCACTTGACCTTCACCCGGATGGCCTCGGCGATGCCGTCCTGCCGCCTGCCCAGTCCCTGCCCTGCAGACAAGGCACCGTCACCCCTGCACGGCCGCGGGCACCGGGGCTGGGGTGCTGCAGGACCCCGGGGGTGCAGGAAGGTCGAGACCGGGTCCTGCAGGAAGGAGGGAGGGGGGGAGGCGGGCTCTGGGCACCACCGGGATCTGGGGTGGGGACCTGGGGGCTGCCGGGGTCTGCAGGGTCCCGGGGCTTGGAGGGAGCTGGAGCCTGGAGGAGGAAGATGGAGCTTGGGGGGGAGACGGGGTTTTGGAGGGGTCGGAGTCTGGGGGGAGCCGGGGGTTGGGGGGCAAGGTGGAGCGGGACAGGCCGGGGGGCGCGATTCGGGGACCCCCGCCCGGCCCCACCTTGGCGCCAGCCGTGCCGCCTCAGCTGGGTCTCGGCGAACTGCATCCCGCGGCCCGGCGGGACCGGGGCGCTCATGGCCCGGTGGGTCTCAAGGAGTCCGGGTGTGCCCGGGGGGTCCCGGTATGTCCCGGTGTATCCCGGCGTGTCCCGGTGTATCCCGGTGTGCCCGGGGGGTCCCGGTATGTCCCGGTGTATCCCGGCGTGTCCCGGCGTATCCCGGAACGGCCGCACGAGGCCGGGCAGGGACTGTGCGCGTGCGCCAGGGGCGGGGCCGAGAATGCACCGAGAGCGGGGCGGGGCACGGGAACAGGGCCGGGGGCACCGCGAGAGGGACACGGAGACACGGACAGGGACACGAGTATATGGACATGGGGACAGGGGCACGGAGACAGGGACATGGACACAGGGACAGGGACATGGGGACAGGGACCGGGGGTACACGTACATGGAGATAAGGACATGGGGACAGGGATATGGACACGGGAACGGGGGTACATGGACACAGGGAGAGGGACGTGGGGACGGGGTGATACGTGGACACACGGGAACAGTGATATGGACATGGGAACAGGGAGTACACAGACATGGGGACATAGGGGACATGGCATGACACACATGAACGTGGAGGCGGGCGATACACGGGCATGGGGACACAGACACGGGTGCACACACACGTACAAAACCATGCATGCATGCATGAAGTGAAAAGATATTCTTGACAGCAGAAATCTCTCCCAATCAATCAGCAGGATTTGCCACTACCTGCTGCAGAAATTGCTTCTTTCATTATGTTTTTAAAGAATTAACTCTATCAGATAAAATGAGAGGAAACAGTCAGTAAGAACATCCTTGGGCAATTCCTTGGGGAAGGAGAGATATGGGAGTGAGAAACAGCAGTCGTTCCTTTGGAAGTGGGCCTTTGAACAGCACATTACCAGGGATTAGGGAAAGCTCTGGAGGGGATTAAGGTTTCACTAAAAGGTTCTTTCTCACCAGCCTTCAAAGTGCCTTTTCCTCCAGGGCCTGAGAAGGCCAGATCTGCATCTCCTATGGGAACCAAAGACCAGACTCAGCTGCATCCACCTCCCAGCTCTCTCCCAGTGATCCCAGTCTCACTGTGTTCCATCACCGAGGAAGCTGCAACCCTCCCAGCTCTCCTTCCCAGTATGTGAACAGTACAACAAGCAAAGCCCCTGGGCATGGGCAGCTTTTCCAGACTGCTGGGGGAGGCTGGAGAACTGGCAGGTGGCATCAGATGGACACAAGAACCTGCAGGCTGCCTTGTGTCTCTATTTTAACATCTTGTCTGGTGGGCTGGCAACAGGGAATGATCCCAAAGTGGCACAAGAGCAGATGCTACAATGTGGAGAGACAGGAGAACTGTGTTTTCCCACTTAAGCAAAAGACACCAAGGACTGGACGGCCTGTGAGTGTTCATCATGGCCTTTCAGGAGTTAAAGGGAACTTGTGAAAATGAGGGTCAAAGTCTTTTTATATGGACAGATAATGATGACTCAAGGAGAAATGGTTGTAAACCAAAAGAGGGAAGACTTACACTGGCTATTGGGAAGAAATTCTTCCCTGTGAGGGTGGTGAGGTCCCGGCACAGGGTGCCCAGAGAAGCTGTGGCTGCCCCTGGATCCCTAGAAGTGTTCAAGACCAGGTTGGACATTGGGGCTGGGAGCAGCCTGGGATAGTGGAAGGTGTCCCTGCCCATGGCAGCGGTGTGGAATGAGATGAGCTATGAGGTCTCTTCCCACCCCACTCTGGGATTCTCAAACTCCTGTGGACTCTCCTCAGTAGCTCACAGCCATCTGCATACACTGCAGCAGGATTCCCCCACGACACAGGGATTTATTTCCAGCCAGCTTTGGAGTCACCAAGGTGCTCTATCCCTTCAAGTCCCTGTTCCAACATAAATCCCTTCACACACACACAGATCTTGCACTGTGGAGACGTTACCATGTCACACCTTGCCAACACACTGAGGGGGTGGAAGGACAATTTCTGCCTGGCCAGAAACAACACTGGTGGGACTCATTTTGCTCCTCAGAGGTTCAAATTCACCATGGGGTGATATCCCCACTCCCTATGACCCTGTGCACCCTCTCTTCGCTGCTTGCACCATCCGTCCTCCCACAAGCACATTCCCTACAAGAGCTGGCTTGTGCAGGGACACACTTTAGTGCCGTCAAGGGACACTAGAGAGATCCCAAGGCTCACACAGGCCTTTCCAGGAGCCTGTTTTGAGCTGCAAAGGGGACAATCAGTAACATTTGGGAAGAGCTCTGACCCTGCCAGTGCCAATCGGGATCTCCAGTCCCATCCCCTACACATCTCTGTGCAAACTTCCCACATCTGAGGAGAGATTGCACAAAGAAAATCCACACGTCTGTGCACAGCCTCCAGAAGAGGTTAAAGCTGCTTTCTAAATCCTCCTCCAAGGGATTGCTGTCTCATTAGGATGCACACACAGAGGCAGGAGTGTTTCCAGCCCCATGTTTTCTCCACCACCACCACCTACACTCTCAGCAACACGAACACCCATCGATCCCAGTTCCAGCTATGGAGCCAGCTGGGTGCAGCAGGTTTTACAGGTATGCAGCAAACCTCCTGCTCCCTCTCTGCCCAATCCTCCCACACTGAAAGAAACTTAAAACTATCAAATAACACTGACTCCCAGCTCTCAACAGTTCCAACGGTTGCTAATTGTCAATTCTAATTCAGAGGAAACTTCCAAACCAGCACTTTAGGACCAGTGTTTGGGAAGCTTCAGCAGCATTCCTGAAGTGTTAAAGGTTTCCTGGCCACAAGGGAAGGCAGCTGGGCCAGGTGGAAAGGGAGTGTGACACTCCCATGCCTGCGCTGAGCACGGGGAACAGGACAGGACAGATTAAACCCAAGGAACTGCAAACTGGCCCAGCTGAGCCGAGGCAGGCAAGGATGAGACAGGGATGCAGGGAGACAGATGGTTGTGCGCATTTATTTTCCTTTGATAAAAATGGTGTATGCAAATTACACAGCCATGGAGGCTCCTGGGAAATACCACCCTGCTGGTCCTGGGGAGTCTCTTGGACAGTCAGAACATTCGAACACACCAGAATGGAAGGGGGGTGGAAGATGGATCTAAACTGGGAAGAAAGTGAACTTCAACATTTTCCAGTGAAGCGAAAAGACTTAGCTTATTTTTCCATTTCCTTTTTAGTTTTCACACTTGTAGAAATGAGCCCACTGAGCACAGGAGTCAATGCCCCCGGACACCTCTGACCAGGAACTACATGACTTGGGCAGAAACACACCTTCAGAACACCTTCCTCTGCACAGCACCTTCTACTCAAGCTCAAGAACAGCACACCTGGTCACTGCACACCCCTGGACTCCCTTACACCACCCCCAGAGTGTAAAGAGGCCACACTTCAAACGCAGGTTTCACACCCATTAACCCTCTACCAGGAGACTGGAGGCACCTGTCAGTGAGGGACACGGGCTCGGTTCATCCCAGGAAACATTAAGACAAATGACATCAGAAATTCTCAGGTAATTTCAATTTTTCTTTTGATCCATTCCCAATAAGATGCTGAGAGAAATAACCAATCCCCAAACTTGGCTCAATATTTTAAATATTTGCCTGAAAGGAGGGCTAGGGGAAGGAATCATGTACAGTTAAAATCAAGCTACTCAAAACACAATCATTCATGTAAGTAACTAGAAGTATCGCCTCTACCATCTAGAGAGAGAGAGAAGAGTGTCTGAGACAGGGCATATTTAGGAAAAAATACACATCTGAAGTCTCTGTGGCCACGATGAGAACTGGAATCCACATACAAGCCAGTTAAAGAGCATTTCAACATGAAATCTTAACTTAGTAGGAAGGTCAGGGGTTAAGCTGTATCTTTTTGTTTTAAATACATGGACAGCTGTCAGATATGAAAATGATGGCGGGCTTTCCGGAAAGATCCCCTGTGCATGTGTATGGATGCATGTGCTGACGTCTGTGGGGCAGCAGGACAGAGTTTAGGAAGGCTGGGAGCCCAGCAGTCTCTCAATAGCTGCGTTGATGTCCCCACCGGTGGCGATGAGCGCCTGGAGATTGGCCTCACGGTTGATGAAGCCCATGGCATTCAGCTGCTCCAGCTGCTGTTGGAATCGCACTTCGGGACTCTGCGCCTGTGAGGGGAAGGACAGGACCTTGGAGTCAGGGAGCACAGACAGTATTCCAACATGGGCAGTGCCAGCAGCCACGGCTCTGCAGGAGCCCCATGCTCAGCTTCAGGCTCGTGTGGGAACAGTCTCCACGTCCCCTTGGGTTGTGGCACAGCAGCCACACCAGAGTCACTCCTGGTTTGGTACTGACAGTGGCAGCAGTGCAGGGAGAAGGATCCCCAGCACGCTGAGCTTCAGCCTCTCAAAGTGCTCAACACCCCAAAGAGTCGGCCAGACCCCAACACCAAACCTGGCCTAGAGCACCACAGCCACAAGAGACTGTTGGGGACCGCATGTCCTAGATGGGGTGAGGTGGGGACCCCCCTGGAGACCTCCCTGCCCGTGCCAGCACCCGCTGGGCATTACGTACTTGAGAGCTTCCTCCGGCCAGCAGCTGGATCATCTGCTGCATGAGCTGCTGTTGAGGGTTACCACCCCCAGCTGGAGAGGCACTGGCCGGCGTCGAAGCGGAGGGAACGGGGTTCTCCGGGATTGTGCTTCCTCCTGTGGAGGACGGGGGCATCCGGGGCATGCCAAAGGAGCCGAGGCTGCAGAGGAAGGCAGGGCATGCTCAGGGCGACACTGGCATTCTGGTCACCCCCCCAAGAGCGGGGCAGCAGGGCAGCCAGCAGGCTCTACTGGGCTGGGCCTCACTGAAGGCCCTGCTACAGGGCAGCTCTGAAAACTGAACGGGCTGCATCCATGCTCTGGTCACACACGGCACTGGGAGTGAGCAGAGCTAAAAGAAGCCTGCAGAGAACTGCTGTGATGGAGCATGACCCGTGGTGACAGCAGGCAGAGAGCTGAGGGCTGCCAGTATATCGGCCTGCCCCAGCAGAGCCACCCAGCCTTGTGTCTGTCCATCTCATACT